TGTGGATTTAGTAGCCAGTCATTAAAATTTTAAAACTAGTGTATACTTTGAAGTCTGAACGTTCAACACAAGCTGAAATAGAAAGTGGCTGCAGCTTGTGGCTATGTCAGCTTGTGAAATCAACTGTGTGAAATCTGAAATGCCCATGGTGTTGATTTAAAATGTGCTCTGACACAATCATAGGTATCGGTTGCTACTGAAAACAAAAAGTGAAGCCGGTCGGCGCTATGGGCTTGAACCATTTGTTAATTGGGGGGGTGATATATTCAGTTTTAACTGTAGCTAGGCTCAAAGTGTTAATGCTATCTTTATTCAATAAACACAATTTTCATTGTCATATGAAAAACTAGGGTGGCACTAGGGGTGGCAAGAGATCATTTTAGGGTCGCACATGCCACCACATGCTATCGTGTCATGTTATCGTGGTCATCTGATTGCTTAAAGCACCAAGCAACATGTGATTTGTAGCTTGCTCGTGTTGCCCACTTGACGGCGCCAGTGGACAACAGAAATCTCCTTCCAGTAATTAAAATTGATTTTCAAGTGTATTTTGAAGCCAATTTAGTGGGTTTTTCAGTGCTGAATTTGAAAAAACAAACAAACAAACTCAAAAATACACATTTATGATTGCATGCTTTAATCTCATCTTTGTTTTCAGTGTTTTCCTGTCTGATCATTCTTGTATTACTGAAAGTATTCTGCGGTGTCAGTCTGTATGAATATGCAAGCAAGGAAACTATACAGGTCTGTCACTGCCACAAATGTGCTTCATGTAAAACTCATATAGTGCGTTGAAATAGGTCAGTTCACACAGACTGAGAAGCAAACACTTACACACACAAATACACAGCTCTCAAGAGTCAGGACAGTAATTACATGTCTAAATCTGACAGAGCGTCCAACCACCACTGTCTGGCTGCTTGCCAGTGTGTGTGTGTGTTTGTGTGTATTACTTATTTTCTGAGGACATAACTCTGTTTGCAATGTCACACTTGCCTCTCTTTTGTGGACAAAAAGCAAGTCCCCATCAAAGCAATTACAGTTTTAGTATGAACAATTAGCTTGAAGTGAGGGAAGGGGTTGGAGAGTTTATCATTGAGGTAAGTTTAGGAAAGCAGAGATCATAACCATAGACACAGTAGTGAAATGAATGGTAGTCAATGCAGTGTGTGTGTGTGTGTGTGTGTCCGTCTTTGGTAGAGACAGAGACAGGCTGGCTGGAATCTGCTGAGGGAGGACCTATGCTGAGGGTGTCACTGCGTTCAAGAACACATTTATATATACACACAAGTGCTGAGCAGTGCCACATCACCCACCACACTGCTATGTCCACTTTGCACACACTAACACACATGTCACTTACACCCTCGGTTCCAGGTTCACTGACCCTGTTTCATATTATTCTGACTATAACCGAAATTTTGATGACTTTTGTTTTCGCTGATGTCATTAATGTGTCACATTTGGGGGGGAGGGGGGGTAAAATCTGAAATATCTCCATAACAATTGGATACATTGTAAAACACTTCAGTTTCCCTCACCATGATCTCAGAGAACATTGAGCCCTTTTAGTGTGGCACTGCTATTTCATGTCATAGACTCAAGTGTCATAAAACCAAAAGGAAGATGGACAAAAAACAAAACAACAACAAGAACATAAGAAATGCATGTAGAGACAAAAATGATAAAGGAACAAGAGAGAGATTTAAAAAGCAACCATTTGAGTAAATCTTAAATACCAAGATGCTAACTGGGTCCACCCCCCTTCTTCTAACCCGCTTTGATCTGGCTGTTGGATGGCAGCGGTTTGCCCATGTGGATCCCCTCCATTTGTCTAAACTCTTTACTTTCATATTTCTCATAGACCTCAGGCTTCAGCTGGAAACCCTTCATCAAGGAAATAAAAAGTATAGTGGCGCTTCCCTCACAGTGTGACATTAACATCTCTGTTAATGCCAGAAGCACTGCACATGGGCTCGCGACAATAGTTTTTTTGTGCTTGAAGATTCCCTTCACTGTATTTCTCCTGTTCAGAGGCAAAGCCAAGAACCAGAGCTAGCCAGCCCCTCATGACTGCAGGAACAGACGACCAGTTTATGAGGAACTGAAAGACAATGATGTCTGGCTGTTTCAGGTTATAATGCTCTTGTTATGTCAGTTTGATCTCCTCTGCATAGCAGAAGTTCTCAACTTTCTTAACTCTCGGTAAATCCTGATGCAGAGGAGATCAAAGGACGACTTTATTCTGCCCAGGCCCAACCCTGGAACAAAACTGGAGGGGCGCTCGAGGGCACACGCCTGGTTGCTCGACTAAAGACTAAAGACACACAACACGAAGAGAGGCAGTAAGGCCCGGGTGAACTAAGTCGAGACCAAAAAGAACAATGGAGGGAACTAAAAATACAGAAAACTACACAAGGAACTAACCGTCAAAATAAAACCAGGGACCAAAGCAAAAGAGGGAGCAGGAACAAACTCACAGATAGCAATGACACGCAGAGAATGAGAAAACACAGGAGGCACGTGAAATAAGAGAACAAGAATGAAGTGTTACAACCAAAAGACTATGACACTCGCTCTGTGGGTCCCCAACATCACTCGCCCGGGAGAGATTTCATCATTAGATATTTGGATGCTGCTGCTGCTGCTGGGGCTTGATGCTTTGATTTATGGGTATTCAATTAAGCTGAGATATCCTGGCTGTGAAGGCCTTATGGCTTATGGTTGGCATTGTTTTCATGCTCTTTAGTAACGCCTCATGTCTTTTGGCTGTGACACTGTGATCATGGGGCAGATCATGTCACAGAGCATGATATTAACGGCACATGCAGGGAAGCATCTGCATGCTACCGCATGTATACCAGTGTTTTCGAAGCACATAACAGAAGGGGGCATGGTGTAGTTTTGTAACATGCCACTGAGTCATTCCTCTACCCGGAGGGCAGAC